CAATGAAATTCTACTTAAAAGCAAATTCTACCATAAGGCTTACCCCCTATTCAGCATGCTCATATCAGATCTCCTTGAAAGTGAAACTACTTGAAGGCATTTACCTGTCAGCAATTAATTCTTGTCCTGTAAAATGGTTAAAGGCAGATGGGCCATAATTCCAGATAATCTCTTCAGCAGCAATGAAGTACTGTCTTATCTTTGTAGTCTCATTGTGATTTATTTGGATTTTCTGCAAGTTTCTACTTTAAAAAGGGCCTGCATACCACCTGGAAAAAATGATGTAAGCAAATTGAAGATACTGCAATTTATTTTTTTCCCCCCTACGATTCTAATAGCTCTTTGTCTTATCTGGAGAATTCCTGCTAAACCAGGTACTAAAAGACAGACCAGGTTTTCCTCTAAACCTAATCAGTGGCTCACTTGTGAAACTCTTAGGCCTTTGTACCCTAGAAGACCGATCCAATAGTGAATCTTCTTGCTGAAGGTACAAACAGTTAAAAAAAAAAAGAAAAAAGTGACCTTTTACAGCTAAATTGGGCAGTTTGTAGGATTTTCATGTTGCCCATGAAGATTCATCCACATCAAGATACTACAGGATGCTCTAGTTATCTAAAAACTTCTGTGCAGCTGAATTTGTAGGACAAACATGTTCCTCCCCATGTCAGAATTTTCAGATCCTAGAGCCTGATTTTGAGTTCTGTGTTCTTTCTGACAGATGACTTACATTATCCGTATCCCTCTAAATGAAAGCGTGCTTTAGCTTCTACATATTTCACATGGTTAAAAGAGCATGGGAAATACACTAAGATACAAGGAAGACAAATGCAGATCATCTCTGATTATTAGCCAATGTTCTTTCCAGAACGTGTCACTGTCAGGCAAGTTAACCTGTCTGTCCTGTGGCCTTGCCCAAACCAGCACTAACCTTTTTGTTGGCAAACAATGTTGTGATCAGTTACCGTCAGTAAGAGGTAAACATCAAGATACTGTTTATCTGAAGTCCAAGTATACAAAAATGCAGTGATACCAATTGCTGTCAATTGATAACAATTTCCATTAACAATAACAAAATTTTCGATTCTGTGGGTACGTTCCTAAGCCTATCTAATACACCTGTAGGCACTTCATTTGCTATATTGTTTGGTTGGGGTTTTTTTGGGTTTTACTTTGGGTTTTAGTTGTTGTTGTTGTTTTTGTTTTGTTTTGTTTTTAACCTTGAGGAGAACAATGTCTGGGAAATAACCACATCAGGAGCAGCGTGAAAAAGACTCATTGAATTGGTAGCTCAAGCTGAAAAAAAAATCCTGATGTCTGTGATTTTTTCCATACCTTCTATATGGTCATTCACTTGGCAGCTCAGCAGCCATTCCCCATGATTCCTCGGTATCAGGAGAGCATCAATAAACGTGGCTGCGAAGAGGTTAATGGTGTCAACTCGATGGTGTCTTTCTATCAAGGTCTGACCATGAAAGCAGGCTGAATGGATGTCAGCTTCATTACCCATACCAAAAAGATGCCATTTTACCTTATCTTCCACACACATTGTGAGATTTGGGAGGTATCCATACATGTACCCATTGATTGCTAAAAAAAACAAAAAAACAAAAAAAACACCAAACAAACCAACCACATAATTACTGCTACATTCACAGAGCTCAGAATCTTCACTTCAAAGGTGAGTGACATACAACCATTACTCTATTTTCCAGAATAAAGAGAATCTCAGAACAAAACACTGGACCTTTGAACATTAACCAACATCAGACACAAACTTTATCTTCACATCTACCTGCAGCTCCTGCTGTGATTCTGGAAACCAAGAATGAGCCAAAAGTACTTTTTGTTGACACTAACAGTAAAATCACTTTTTCTAAACTGCAATATTATATAGTATAGTTTATGACGTAGAAGCAAAACTAAGTTACAAAACTGTCTACAGTGTTGAGGAAATTTTATTGCCAAAAAGAAGTTTTGGTCCCTAGGAATCTTCTTTCTCAATTCCAAAGCATTGATTGTACAATACTGGTCATAATTTTTATTTTTTTTTTTAATTTTAATTTTAAAAGGAGTTTAATTCTCCAAGAAAAAGTTCTGTTTTTTAAAAAAAAATCCTTAAAAGAGACAACCCACAAAACAACCAAAACCTCTTTACATCAATGGCAAGTAACATTAATAGTAAGTTCTCTCACAGTGCATTTTATTGCTTTCCTGGAAGTCCTCATCATCTTTGTCAACTTTGGAAGGCTCAGAACAGTATGTCCTGATATTGTCCTCTAGATACCAACTGAGATTTTCATCCATCACAGAGAACATAAGGATAAACTCAGCATCGACATATTGATCGCTGTCCTTATTCATTGCACCTGAAAAAGAAAGTAGCATATTCTCCAGCAACTGGCGATATCTGTTCAGTTTTAAGCACAGTATTGGTAAGGATGATGGCTGTTTACTTGACATTTTGTTGTTTATCTTGAGTGTGACTGTATGTATAAACTTACAGCCATATTGGGAAAACAAAGGTTGGTTTTAACAGATGCTGTAAAATAACTTTGCTAAGAATAAATATTGTATGTGATGATAATGTAAAACATTTGTTCTACATATCAATGTCACACTTTTGCATTACTAGCATGAACACATTTCACTCATTTGCCTAGCACACAAAAATCAAATCCCATCCTATTATTACATGGCAGATAACTGACAAGACAAAATCCACTATTTCAAAATGAACTCTTAATTTCCTCTTCCAGAAAATTAGTTCATTCATATTTATCAAGTGCCATTATCAATCAACTTGCATATGTAGTAGTTAATCCACGTTTTACCTTTCCTGCAAATGATTAAAGGCCCAACAAGCCCTGAGGCAACATCTCTTGGAGCATCTATGTGAGAGTGGTAAACCCTGGTAATGCAGTCTGCATCTCCTTCAGCAGGACCTTGATCTTCTGTCACATCCCACGTATAAGTGTACTGGCCTCCAGGCTTCACAGCATCATCTCTTTTTTCAAAACCTTTGGTATTGTCTGGATAAAAAGCACCTGAGGAATGGCACACGGCCAACATTAACATAACGCATTTCACAATATGGTGTCAGAACAGTGCTTTCAAGTTGACTACATGCTGCAATAACAGGGATTGAATACTCAAATAGAGGTAAAACAAATTTTAACTCAGATGGATAGAGCTTTCCCTTCTGCTAGAATTCCTTTACTCGACTTTGAGTTCTGCAGGTGTGCTTTGACAAATAACTTTAAATTGAGTTCTTTATTAAGAGGGCACAGTGTACTTCTGCTAAAGAGACAACAGCTAAAATATTTGTAAAACATTTGTTAAATATTGATCTTGGAATCTATTCTAAAACATTGCATTCCTCTCCAAGGAACACAGGTGTGCCTCAAATAAGAGCAACAGTGGTAAAATTGCAAATATTGTTCTATATATTACCATACAACATGCTGTTCTGCTCCCATAGTGCGTCAATGCCAAGTCACATTTTTGATGTAATGAAAACCCTTTAAAAATATTAGATGTTAAACTAATATTTCACAATTTTTTTCCCCACTGAAAAATTTTCAAAGACTACTTTTGACAGTATCTACTCAATAATTCACACAGTTTTTAAGGCATCTTAATAAAACTTTCAGTGGCTATATTCCAGTGCAGTCTTTCTTGCAGATAATAGTATGGAAAACTACCCAGTGAGGTGCATCTGGCAGAGTGAATTGTCAGGCTACAGCCTCAGGTTTAGATGTCATCATACTACATTCAGTAGTTTTCAAGGAGTAAACTGGAATCACAGTATTTCCTCAGGAGGGACACGCTGCTCTTTCTGACAGATGGCACATTCATGGGTTGCTGTATGCATAAAAGATGCTACAAAAACACTCCATAGATTGTCCAGAAGAGAACGCGACTCTTCTGCCTGTCAATATGCAAGGACTCCACTAATTTCAGTGAAACTGCAGCAGTGTTTCACAGCTTGAAGGTCTCCCCTATTGCCAACAACTATTGTCTTCACTAATACCAGTAGCATTGCTACAGTACATCTGAAAGCGTGATGGCTAATTTATCTAAGCTGAAGGCATTTGCCTGTTTTAAGGAACTTGTGTATCTTATATCTTGTGTATAATTCAGAATTCTTAATACCGTTAAGAGTTATACAAACAGTATTTTCTTTACAACAGCATCGTTTTTTTTTTCCTTCAGACATCCCTACATTACCCTCATTTCAGATGGAACGTTGATCTAAAATTGCCTTCTACACGAACCCCACTTTTGGCTCAGTATTTCACTCTTGAACAAATACCAGAAGTTCTTAATCAGCTCCTATTTTAAACTGAGTGTGTCTTGTTCCAGAAGATAATTCGCTTAGGCAGTTGTATCTTTGATGACAAAGCTTTTGTTAAATTCTGACACAAAATGGACTCAAGCTTACCTTCGTTTTCCTTTGTATATTTTACACCATGTGGATGCAGTGTGTAGTTTCTGGAAGCAAAGTTTTTCAAGTGAACAACAATGGAATCACCAACTTCTCCTTTAATGATAGGGCCTAAAAAACCCAGCCAGGAAGGTTTCTCAACTATCACATCATATAAAACATCAGCGTACTGAGTGTAGACAGCCTTCTTATAAATGCTTCCTATCCTTTGCGGTCCTCTTTTAAGGAAGACTTCAGTTTGCCTGTAAAGAAAATACACAATATCAGATATTCACTTTATACTTGAACAGTGCTAATTAGCAGATCTCAAACAAAAGCCAAGCCTCCGTAGCACTGTGCACAATCTGCCTTTAGAAGCAAATACATTCACATTTCTGAAGAGTACAGGCACTCAGATAGAGACTAAATGCTACACACCAACTATGAATTTTTTCTATCTATTTTGTAGACTGAAGATAAGGATACTTGACACAATTTTCTGCTGCTTATAAGTCAAACAACAGGTCTTCCTGCTCAACATTTTTGTACGTGCTTCAAGTTCTGCATAATCTTCCAAAGCCAGTTAAAACCAACAAGTATCATGTTATGTTGACTTCACAGTCAGCAAGGAGAAGACTCTTCTTACTAGTGATATACTTCCTCACTCTTCATTTAGTATAGTTCTACTTCATTTTAAAAGCACTGAAAAAATAGAGAGGATGACTATTTTTTTTTCCTGTCCAATACTTTCTTTGGTGCCTCTGATATCTGAGTTTTCTTTATTTATTATTTATGTCTTCAGGGTATCACCTTTCTCCTCACCACACTTATCCTCTATTTCTCATACTGCACAGAGCCTTTCTTGCATGAAACACTCCAGCTGCTGCATCTCCACAAGAAAGAGACCACTGCCAACAACAAACATTTCTAAATTGAAAGGAAATAAAGGAAAATTGTGCCCAACAGAAAAATGAGAACAGAAAAAACATGTTAAACTTCTGAGTTTAAAAATGTAAAAGCAGAAGCCTTCCCTTCATCACTGCCACTTGGCTGATTCAGAATAACAGTAGGCATTCACATGATCATTTCCCTACCTCTAGTTAATAAACGTTTCATTACGATAAAGTCACAAAAAGAACATTACATTGTACAACATTTTCCATCAGCAGAGAGTCGCAATTTAGTTCTTAAGCAAGTCAGGAAAAAGTAAATACTCCCTTATATGTCAGCCACCAGGTTCACTGACACTAGCAATATTCATTTCACCGACTTCACCAGGTCCTGGTCCTAGCATCTAAAGCAGACAATGCTATTAAATAAAACTCCATCAGTACGAACTACATTACTTACTCTTCTTCTGCAAAACGTTGTCCAGATATGATATCAGTACTACCAGGAGCATAGTCCCATGCTGTCTCTATAATCCCGATGTAATACTCCCTGGTCACTGCCCCACTTCGGCAACAGCAAAAAAACAGCACAACGTTTAGCAAGTACAGCTTCATTCTGCATTCACGAACCTCGTGGAAAGCGTGAAACAGAGAGCGGGTACATGCAATTTCCCTTTATATGGTCTTTCTTTCCCACCTCAATTCCACCCCAATCAGAACACCCCGAATCTTTAACTTTTTAACTCTGCTCAGCACCTTTCTTAGTGGAAGGCAAACGGCTCTTTCACAAGAGGGCTGTAAGTTCAGTAAAGCCAGTACTACATACAGAAAATACTCAAAGCTTCTACAGCACAAACACAATCTCCCCTTCACAACCCGACTCAGCACCAACCCCTGAGAGCACCGCCACTCACAGCTCTCCAGCCGCACTCTGTGCTGCCCATCACCACCACTGAGCTCAGCCAGTAAACCAGTTCTCAGCCCACCTCATCATCCACTCATCTATCCCACACTTTCTCAGCTTCATTACCAGGATGTCACAGGAGACTGTAACAAAACATTGCTGAAGTCAAGGTAGACGACACCCACTGCAGTACCTGAAATGATCCATTCCATCCCACTCAGGCTGAAGCCTTTATTCCTTCCAGGTGCGTATTGGGACCAACCTCCAACACGGGATGAGTGCACTGGAAATTCCAGAGGTGGAGTTTGAGCCAACAGCCCACATTCCTTAAGGGGTAACAGAGCAGCAGACAACCCGAGTACACAGTTCTGGAGAAACTTACCCTTGGTTTCAGGAGCGGGCATCTCACCATTCCCAAGTACGGCCACCCAAACAGCACTTCATAGGGCGATACTCCTAAGCCTTTTCTGTGAGTGGTTCATATTCTGACAAGGGCTACAGGCAAACACTTTGTCCATGGTAATTTGGTCTCTGAAACCAATTTTGACAAGTGCTTCTTCAGCATCTGATTGATTCATTCTACTTTCCCTGAAGAAGGAGGGTGCCACGGAGTATGGAGCTCCCACTTCATTTCTAAAGCTCTCATTAGGTCCTGTAGGACATGTGAAGTAAAGAGGCTTCCCTTATCTGAGTCTATATTCTGCACAATCCCACATCTAGAGATTGTGTCAGAATGTAGAGTCCTCAGTGCAGAAGAGACATGGACCTGTTGGATCACATCAGAGGATGGCCACAAAAAAAAAACAAAAACAAGGGATCAAACAGCTCTCCTCCAAGGACAGGCTGAGAGAGCTGAGCTGTTCAGCACGGAGAAGTGAAGGCTCCAAGGCGACCTGGTAACAGCCTTTCAATATCTAAAGGGGAGCAAAAGGAAAGAACAAGGGAAAAATTAGGTTAGATATGAGGAAAATATCTTCTATAGTAAGGGGGGTGAGGCAGTGGAACAGGTTGCCCAGAGATGTGCTGGATGCCCTGTCCCTTCCAAGGTGAGGTTGGATCGGGCTCTGATCTAGCTGTGAACATCCCTGTTCCTTGTGGGGAGTTGGACTAGATCATCAAAAATGGTTCCTTCTGACTCCAAGGAGTCTATGGTGTGACAGCCAATGCCATGAGGAACGGCGACACAAAGGACGTCGATGGCCTGGTGAGCAATCAGGGCAGGCAGGGAAGCCTGAGTGCTCAGCAGCTCTGGGGATACTCAGCAAGCAGTCCAACCAGGAAGATCCACATCAGCACAGAGCCTGTCCATGGCAGTCCCAGTATTCAGCAGACCAGAGGCCTTGCTTCATCACACTGCTGGGTCCCGTAGCTGCAGAGCTAGCTATTTAACGGGAGCCAGGGGGTGGAAGGAAGGGGGGCACTGGGTATCATACAGATTAGGAAACTAAGAGCATCCCCCTGACAATTGGGATGGAGATCTGGGCTGATCCTGACAAAGTGGTCCAGAAGAGGGAAATCTTTCCTCTAAATACATTTCCTATAAATACAAAGCAAGATCTGCAAGAAACAGAAAAAAACATAGGACCCCAGGGTGGTCAGCCACAGCATGCTCTGAGCTCCATGCCCTGGCATCTGTTACAAATTCATAAGGGAGATCAAGGAGAGAGCCAAACAAAACAAGAACAGAACACTTGTGTTCAGTGTGCTCGAGTAGTGGAGCCTGCATTGCACTAAGTGAGGATGAAGAAAAGGACCTCTGGGGCCCAAAGATTTTCTTAAGCTCAGGTCCCAGGCTGATGGATGCACCACACTCTATCACCAGTCACATCGCTTATTGGGCTGGAAGAACAGACCCCAGGGAGCCCCTTGTGACCCCTACTCCATCTTTAAGTGAGCTTCCAACAGCCATCTCAAAACCCACATGCATACAAGTGATGCATGAACAGGGGGCTCATGAGGGGCTCCACTGCCCGCTCCACAGATTTCACAGAGCTTAAACCACTAACCAGAGGAGCCCCAGAAACCCTTCAACCCCATCGAGCTGCAAAACAGAACAAGATCCAAAGAGACACAGAACATAATTTAAATACGTGCCCACAAAAGAGGGACCAGAGACTTCATGAGAAGTATTGAGTTTAAAAAGAGCCACAAAGAAGATCTGGAGAACACAGAATCCCTTTATGGAAAAGGGCATCAGCTCCAGGCATTTCCACAGTTGCAATGCACAGCCAACCAGCGTTATCTGGGGGCTGATCAGTGCATTCCAGAAATGAGATAAGAGCAAAAGAAAGGAACGAACATCAGTCCCTGCATTACCAGTTCAGAGAAAGGGAGATACCCCCTTCACTTCCCCCAGAAAACAATTGAAGGGCACCATAAAGACAGGCAAAGCAGATAGAGCTGCTCTAAACCAGCTTGGAATCCCCACAGAAAAGGAAAGACCAAAACCCTACAATGAAGAAAGAATTGCTTACCTCTTTCCAAGAACCAGAGCCCCCCAACAACCCATAGGAGGGGGGGGGGGTCACTGGGAAGAGACACTGCCTGTGGGGCTGCCAGCTCTCAGATGAAGCGAGGGAGGGCTGGAGCCAGGCTCAGCCCCATCTGCTCCCACAGCTGCGTTGCTTCCACCTGTGCAGGCAGGGCTGCACCCCTCACCAGGTGCTCCATCACTGCTTCAGGCTGGGATCTCAAAGTTCCAGCAGCCAATTGGGTCTGCCTGTGTGGCAAGGGGAGCTTTATTGATGAACGAGCTAAGATGGCCCACATATTTTGCTTCCAGTCTGTCCTCAACAGCAATTGGTGACATTTCTAATAGATAGGGGAGCACAGATTTCAGTGCTGATACAGCGAGGTGCTGAGAAGCTGCACATGCAGCACAAGGGCTGAGATGAGCGGCGTCAATGGAGCGAGTGCTGGCTGCCCAGCTGCCGGGCTCAGCTTATGGCTCCCCAGGGAGAAACGTGCGTCATCTCCTCACACAGCAATTAAAGGCCACTGTGATGTTATTGGAGGGTTTGGTGTCCTCAGTGAGTGAATCCGGCACCTGCCTGTATGGCAGCGTGTGGCCTTTGGGCTCCAACAGCAATCCAAACCCCACAGAAACAGGGAGGCTGCAGTGCGTCCTTCCTGCAGCCCTGCGCTCCTCGAGCCAGAGATCGCTGACGTGCTGCAGTGCCCCATTGCTGCTGTGGCTTGACGCAGGATTGCTGACATCGCTGCAGATCTGGAGAAAAGACAGATCATCTCCAGAAAGCACTGCCCGTACAACTTGCCCACGTGTGTGGGGCACCAGCCCCATTTTGGGGGCAATGACCCCCACTTGTGGGGCACTACCCCCCCAATGTCACAGCTGTGTGCCGAGGGCACCATCACCCCACTGCGCACGGCCATCAACTCGTCCCAGGACTCCACGCATCCCACAGGCATCCCTGTCCCCATCCTCAACCCCACGGTGACATCAGCAAGGAGCAA